CATTCGAAGAGCAACACTTACAAAACAGTGTATTTGAGAAAACAGAAACGGGACCATTTGGTGTGGTAGAAAGTGAGATTCAGAAATTTGTGCGTACCTTTCAAATGTATTGCTGTATAATTTTTGCAACATGTAAATAATGTCGGAACTCCCCAACACCGTCTCGCAACAAAAGGGTGGAGTTTTGAGGCATTTAGGAAAAAAGAGTTTTCAATGGTTTTTCTGAAGGGCTTTGCAGAAAAGGCTTTTTGGAATTTTACAAGGCTGACTTGGAAGTAAACTGGATTTCACATAGAAAAAAAGAAGATTTGTGAGGATTTTTTCTCGAGGACGCAAGTAGAAGGAAGTTGCGCGTTTTCTGCCTTTTCAGCCGATGCAAAGAAAGAGCCCTAGATCGCGGGCAACAGTGGAGTGTAGTTGAAGAGATGGAAAATGTTTTGGTTTCGGCAAGACATACGCCCATTCGAAGAAAGGCCTGATCGTTCCAACTTATTGAAAGAGGTGAAAAAAAAAAAGGCTTCCAATAGGTGTTATGTCGTGAATTTTGTATGTTTAGGCTCAGAAATTTTCTACGTTAGGATTCAGAAAACCAAAGAAGTGTGAGCCAAACAAAAAAACACGGTGAAGCTGAAATTTTGTGGTCTATCTTGCATGGGTGGGAACCCACAAGGCTTTGGACCGTACATTCAACTTTTAAGATAGAATCGGGAGGCATTCGCGGAAACTTCGGAACAGAGGGGGAAAAACGGGCAACATTTCTTGAATTTCAATTGAAAAATCATGTAAGGCTAAGGGTTTGATTGTGACGGCGGCGACGGTTACGTGTAACAAGAACGCGAAAAGCGACCGAATGTGATGGTAACGGAGCAGGGTGTGTCGTGGTGGTTTTCCATTGAGATGGTGGGGCCGAAAGAAGAGAATGGATGTCAAAACAGAAAAAAACAGAAAACTTCGGGACCGGAAAATGCGTAATCCCCAAGAAAAAACTGTCCGAGGCTTTGGGCTGGCCCCAGGAAAAGTTCTGGCTGCGCCAAGGCATCCCGGAAGGAGGTCAGTGGAAACTATCCTACATATCAAACGATTCAGAGGGGTCAAACAGTAAAAAGCTGCTTCCCTCTGCGCGCGTGATCACGAGCCCTGGCCGGTCGCGTCCCTTCGAAGTTTTGCCAAAAGAAATCCAAGCAAGGAACCAGAGGGCTGGACGGAAAAGAAACAAACAGGACCCCACCTTTTTTCAATAAGAGACAATGGAGTGAATCTCTCGAGTGCCGATTTAGTTGATAGTTTATTTTTTTCTGTGTGTTAAAGATGTTCTGGACAACTTTGCATTTTGTTGTTTTTTGATTTTATTGTTTGGTATTTTGTATTTTTTTTATTGGGCAAAAAAGTTCCTGTGTTGAATAAGTTTCGGCCCGGCCGCTGTTGCACTGCCACAGTTTGGCCTAACAAATTGTTGTTTGGAGGCGGATGCGGATAGAGATTGGCTGTTTGGACATTTGGTTGTGGGTTTTTTAATTGCCTTTGTTTAAAAAAGTACAAAAAAAAGAAAAAAACAAAACGAACGGGAAGTGAAAAAAGAAAATCTTTAGATAATGAATGGGAGCTTTATTGGACTATTCTGTTGGCTCTTTTTAACTCTCATTATTATTGAGGAAGTGGTTTCAGATAAAGCAATTGGTGCTTTTCCAGTTTGCATTTCTAATCTGCTGTTGATGTTGCTTATTTTCACAAAGAACCATGTTACAGCATTCAGATTCATGAAAAGCCCGCTACATGATCAGTTGTTTTCTGTTTTTTTCGCGGCCTTTCAGAACTGTTTTTTACCCCATCAAATCGGCCAGTCCCCAAAAAAGAAAAGAAAGCCCCTAAGCAGTTAATTCATGGACTTTGTTTCCAATTCTCCTGCTTGAAAAAAAAAACGCGTTTCCCAAGCTCGTTGTCTTATAGATCTGATAAATAAACAATTTTTCTGTTTTAGCAGTCAATGCGCAAGAGAGGTAAAAACTGCCTGTATTCCTCCAAATCCTTGTGTACCACTACCCTATATTACCAACCAATTATAAGCCAGCAGGTGGGGCGTTACTATTTTTTGTCTATTTGTCTCTTAAAAAAAGTGAAAAAGAGGCCGTTCCTTTGGCGGGGTTTCTTTTTGGTTCTTGAGTCAAAACTAGGGGGAACAGACTGGAGAGACGACCTGGCACTTGTCACAAGGCTGGTGTTCTGCTTGAAGAGCGGAACTTGGAAACGAGCACCCGGAGCGGAAGGGATGCAGTGATGAGAACGCGTTAGGTGGGGAGCGCGAGAAGCATTTTATTGTGCACCACCCTCTACTGTGCTCGCTATTGGTTGCTAAGAGTTCCAGTTCTGATGTTTAGAGAGGAGCTGATAGGAGGCTCCGCGGCGGTGTGTATGGTTGAGAATGCTGTCACAAGTATTGCTTCTACCAAGTGGTGGGGGGGGGGGGGGGGGTTTGCGATGTCATTGGATTTACCTATATTGCAAAAGAATTGTAAATATTTAAACCAAAATATTTTTAAATTTGTATGAGTGGTTCATACAGTATATTTACATTAATTCAGAGGAGGGATATCCACGTACCGGACTCCTTTTTAAAAAGCACCACGTGTGAACACAGAGCTACTGGCAGCCTGGAGTTAGTGTTCAAACCCTCAGTCATAGACCTGGAGTCAGGCAGTCTTACCCCATCTCGTCTTTAAACGTGGCGGTGTTATGTGCCAGACGCTGATCAGAGGCGGAGGGGGGGGTTGTGTCCCCCACCCGACTCCTGTTTTTATACAGTTGTGGTATGACAGAGAAAACCAATTGCACTTATTTTTCATTGTTCATGTCCTTTTTCATGTATGTTTTCTACTGCAGCGACCACTGCTGATTGGTCAGAAATAATATGTCTCATTTATTTTAGCTGCCTTTCACTTCTTAAACTGTAAAAGCTGACTGTAGTCACCCCCCCTTCACCTCCCCTCCCCCACTCTGCTGCATTCGTCTGCCCTTGCCCTCTCTCCTTCATCTCCCTCAATCCTGTTAGTATCTTTTCTTTCTAAACTAAACTCTGTCTCTCTCTCTCTCTCACCTCATCTTGACATGATATTTCTCTTCTGGCTACTTTTTCAATAATGGTGAAAAGGAAAAAAATCTTTTAATAAATGATGCATTTTTGAAAGCTGAACTATGAGCCTGTATTTTTATTATAATTATCTGTGTTCAGTGAACACATTTGATTATTTAATAAAATTTGATATCATATGTGACAATGTGAGTAAGACGTGTTTTGGAAAGCAGCTCTCACTAAACAGATGTGTGACTCAATGGGGTGCAGATTTACAGACTGTACATTTTTAAGTGTGTGTGTGTGTGTGTGTGTGTGTGGGAGGGTGATAAAGGGAAGGAGAGGGTACTGAGAAGGAGGGGCGGCATGGTGTGAGACTACAGCCTCTGTAATCTGACTGGTAGTAGTGGGGGGGCTGGCTGATCCTCCAACCAGCTGCTTCTACAGAGCGCAAAACACTGCTGTTCGTGTGGGATGGTTGTTTATTTCGTGAGATCACCATGAGTAAATACTTCCTATGGGCAGTAGAGACGAGCCTGGCATGGTTGTGCCTGTAGTGCATTCCTGGTACAGTAACAGCAGTCAAATAGGGGGCTCAAGTCCAATTCTGAATTCAGGCATACTGATCTAAGTCCCTCTAAACAAAATCAAAGGGTGAAAATCAAAAGTTAACCTCACTCATCTCATTCACCATAAATCATCCTGTTTGTTAAAGCCCATAAAACTTGGCTGTGTTGCCATTGATTTTCTATCTCTGCTGATAACTCAAACACACACTGGGTGCCAGTTAATTGTAATTTTATGTAACACAAATCAATGTCATTTTTACATCAAAATATACTTTAAGTCAAAGTCACAAAGCTGTGTACTTTAAGAGATAAAATAAGCCAAAAGTACAAATATTCTCTGCTTCACTAATGTGAGGATTTGCTCTGATTTACATTATTATAAATGTGTTTGGGTTTTGGACTGATGGTCAGACAAAACAAATACATTTGGCTCTGGGAAATTGCGATGGACATTTTTCATTATATTTGACATGTTACAGACTAAAACAATCATTTAATTGAGAAAATGATTAGCTGATTACTTGATAATGAAAATAATCGTTAGTTGCAGCTCTGATTTCACATATTTAACCAAATATTAAATCCAACTTGACTGAAATTCCTGAATTCAAAAAGGCTGAAACATTCACCATTTTCTCTTCACATCCCATGGATACTGCATGCACATGGGCACGAGAGTGGCAAATTTTAAGAGGGTGTGGTTTGATTTTTCCCTGTTCAGACGGGATGAAATCACCCAAGCTGCGAATACACACACAAACATACTCATAGTCATAAACACACATGGACACGCGTGTGCCACTCCCCACTGCACGCTCTGACACACTGACTGGCTGATTTTGTGATGGGCCTGTCTCTGACACACTGACTGTGCTACGTTACAACAACAGAGACCGCCCTCCCTCCCTTCCTCCCTCTCGGCCCCCCCTTGTATCCATGCAGTTTTTAGCAGAGAAGCCCTTGCCCTCCATCTCCCCCCGCCACTACTCCCCCCCTTCCTCCTCTGGAGGATGGAAATGAGGGGCAAGAGGAAAAGGACGGGAAGAGGATGTGTGGAGGGCACAGGGAGGAGACCTCACCTCACTCAGTTTTGGGGATCATGGAGGACATTTGTTGTTTTTCCCACTTTTTACAATAATAATGAACATTTATAATTTGCTCCAACCATTTGTTTTGTGTTTGTGTGTTTTTCACTTTGCCCTCTAGGATTTTTAAAAAAAGTTTTACATCCCCCTCTACATTAAAGCCAATTTAGCATGCTGTGTTTAAAGAAAGTCTATATTACACCACATAGTGAGCAGAAGGTTGAGAAAA